GCCGTTGAAGGAATTGGTTTGCGCTGCCTTCTGTTTACCTCAGAAAATATTGTTATTGCTTTCATTTTATAAATTCCTGCTACATAAAACTCCAAGTGTGTAAAAGAGACAAACTGCAGAAGGATGTGGGGCAGAGTATGATTACTTATTTTACAAGTGAGTTTCCCTTTACCAAAAATTTACAATGGTTGCATTCTAATCAATTCTGAGTTCCCTAATACTTTTTATGTTTTTAGCTTATTTATTTTGTTTTACTTTTCACGGTTTCCAAATATAGGTTTTAAGCAAATCTTAAAGAAATTTCTAAGATTTTTAAGTTGGAAGAGATACTTTTCCAATTATCCCTGAAGACACTAAGTTATCAAGTGTGGAGGTATAAAAATTATAGCCCCCACATCCCCTTTTGCCTTTGCATGCTCTGTTCCCAATAAATTCTCTTCCTCTGCAACCCCAGATCTCCCTATACTTTCCCTTCTCAATCTCAAGAAATCCTACTCATCCTTTAATATGCAATTTAAATATTATCTCTTCTAGGATTCCTTCATAACTCCCCCATGCTGATTTAGCCACCCTTTGCCCTGAGTTTTCATAGCTTTTATGTCAAAGGCCTGACATAAGCTTATCATCTTATAGTGAACATTATATTTTTCCTCTTGAGGTAGTGCCCTCCTAGAGGGCAGGGGCCGTGTCTGGAATCATAGTTGGGAATAACACCCTCTCCCTTCCCAATGACTTGCATATTTCATACCAATTTAACACTTGACAAAATTTTACACAAAATTTCACCAAGGTATTTCTAAGATGTATCCTAGGGACTGGTATAGAACATGTAGATCTCATTGGATGTTTGGATACGTTTCTCATGAAATTTGATGAAAAAATAATTTAGAATTAGAAAACTTGAGTTCTTTTCCTAGTTATTTATTTCTGTGTACTCTTGGACAAATCTCTTAACAGCTCTGTGCTTCAGTTACCTCCATCTGAACATAGAGAATAGATAACCTACTTGCCTCCTTAAAATATTGTACCCTCAAACATAATCATAAAACAGAATAGGTAAAGTATATTTTAGAAAATAAACTCTTAGTAGCATTTACTGAATTAGATATCCTGTGTAATGTGACTCTGCACTGAGAGAACCAGATGTAATACAGAGGAAGCAAGCAGACACTAATTGTGCTCTATTATTGAGGAACAACAATTATAATTAAACCACAAAGACAGAAAACAGCTCTAAGGATTATTTAGATTCCAGTAAACTCTTAAAATACAGCTGTGAGATTTTAATTTTTTTCTCTTTCTTTTTTTTTTGAGGGAAGAAAGGGATGGTAGGCAGTGGAATAAAAAGTGATAGGAGGCTAAGAATATGCCCAAGTTACATGAAATTCAGTGGATAATTAGTACCTATCCTGTATAAAAATTGGTGTGTGGTGGAACAAAGCTTCAAGGGGGTCATGAGGGTTGAGATCTAGATGTGACTCTGGCAAGACCTTCAACTCTCATGACCTGAGTTTCTCTATCTTCAAATAGGGTCAAGGCTATTTCTTGTTTATGCTGTTTTCTCAGCACTTACAGCATTCTTGGATAATATTGAGTGTAATGTTCCATTATATAGATATAAATACAACATACATATGTTTTTATTTATATAGAATATAAGCACTATGTATACAATATAAATACAACATACACATATTTTTATATAGAATATAAGCACTAGGTATAATGTTCAATTATATTAATTTAAAGATTAAACAGATATATATTTATAAGTTGAGAGTGTTAGTCTAGATGGTTTAGCTCTCTTCTAAATATAAAATTGAGTTTCTCCTTCATGTTCAGGAATTAAAGAATACAATCCCAACAGCCCTGTCTTCTTAATGGTGAGTGGTGGAACTCTGCTCTGTCTGCCCGGGGTGTTAAACACAATGTAAATGAGTTAGATCAAACTTCACCGAAATCTAAAAAATTATTACCTCCATAACTAGACACAAGTTGTTTTCTTGGGCCTCAGTTTTTCCATCTGTAAAATGGTGACACCTACTCACATTGTGGAGAGGACTGAATATAAGCAAGAAAACCAGGCAGCCCATAGGGGATGTTTTATAGATGTTCACATCATTCTTGTTTCCCTTCTATAGTAACTAGTACAGGCTCCTTGCATAGTACATACTAAATAACTTGTTTATTGACCACTTGTGGTTTGAAATTTCTCACATATAGTAAATACATTTTAAATCTTGGGGGGGATTTCTGCTCCAAAGTTGCAAATCCTTCCAAAATTTCCTACTCACCAAAGTATGTCTCAGTAAAATATGGATAGAAAAGAAAACATACCCTAATTTCTCAGTAAGCATAGGAAATTTTCAAGATTGTATTCACTTAAAATTTAAGGTCCCAGCAAATTGAGTTTTTCATTTATGTTTTAGGCTAACTCAGAACAGACTCAGAATTACAAACAGTTGATAGCTTGATATATCTTCTTTAGTTTCTTCAGAACAGATTTCCCCTTGAAATCTCTTCATACAAACCACTGTAACTGACTTGCAAGATCCTATCATGTAAGCTACTGAAACTGTGGGAAGGTAAGTAAATTCTACTTTTTACTATTGATCCAGGTCTTCATCAACTCAAAAAGTGGCTTTTTAATTCAAAAATATTGTAGTTCATTTGAAAGCAAACATTTTAACCTTCAAAAGAAGGTTAATTCAGAGAATCAGGGCTTGAACATTTATATACTGGAAACATGGGCTGAATCACAGGGACAGAGCCCAAGGGTCAGACATGATTCCATCACTCTGATTCCAAACACTGAGTCTAAGGATAGCATTTTCTAAGCCTGGAATTGTAGTATGAGTTATACACTCCCTGAAAGTCACAGCCAATGGGCTATGTATAAAGTTAGTACAACTGAACTTATTCACCCTCTTTTACTCTTGACCGTCTCTGAAGTGAATTGGCTGCTCCTACCACACTGGAAAAGTTTTGCTCACATATTTAAAACCTGGCTTCTTTTGTACAACATGGAAGTGAGAGCAAACCAGGTCACTCTGTTAACCATTTTGGTATGTCAAAAATTTCTAGTTATTGGAGAGGTGACAATGGCCGGTCAGGTCAAATAATACATGGAGGAACTCAAAATAGGAGAATGCATACCATTTCCGGGATAAGTACATTGCTGAAGGATGCTTCTATCCACCATCTCTTCTCTCCACATTTCATTTTTATGGAGCAAGTGACTCAAACCTAGTTACTCTATTCCCACATCCTCCAAACTCCTGATGAAACAAGAAAATACCAAGCCAGCTAACAAAGATAATACATGGGCACATTATGGGACCCTTATAGCATCTCTCTGACCTCACAAGGAGCTGGTGGCATTTCTGTTGATTAATCTTCTCCCTTTTCCTTAGATTTGTTTCTCTCTCTTTTTGATATTTTCTTTTCATGTTGTTTCTTTTTTCCTCATTGTGTCTGACTGACTAGGTTTTTTCAAAGCATAGTTTTATTTATATAAATTGTTTTCTCTTTATCTTTCCTCTGTCCCTCCTGCCCTAATCATTACCTATTTAAATTCTTTCCCCATTACATTCTTTTAAAAAGGAAATTTTAAAAAATTCCTCATTCATACATATTTGTGAAGCTTTTCACGTTACCTTTTCTTTCTAGGACAGATGACTAACTTTTCTCACGTTGACATGCAGGCAGCAATTGGACATACCCAGATTTACCTTTTTCTTTTCTTCTTATAGTAATTCCTTTGGGGGAGGGGTTTCAACTTTATGTCTCTTGCTATTTTTCTAGCCTCTTTACTTGCTGTCCTCTAAAGTCACACTCTCTTTTTCCCTCCTTTACTAATCAACTTTCTTATCATGATGGACCCATTACTTATCAACATTTTTGGGTGTGGGTGTCTATACCAATAATGTTGGCCTCAACTTTGAATCTTTTTGCCAAGCCTTAAAACTATTGATTTTTAAAAAAAAAAAAATGTTTTGCCCATGCTAACTCTCACATTTCTTTTGCTTTTTGGCATCCCCAAAGAAGGTATCCCCCGTGAAATTTTATATTTATATAAAAAGTTTGTTTATCTATTTATGTTTTATTGATATCCATAGCCCAAGATTAGCATCATTACTACAAACACTACTACATACATATTTCTTCAATTTGTTATATTTGGCCTTTTAAGCCCCTGAAGAAACACAACCACTGACAACATGTGTTTTTTTTGCATCATAAACAATTTACCACTCTACCTCCATGGCCACTTATATTCTTTATCCTTGCAATTGTCCCTTTTAATTTAGATCATCGCAACATTTGTGTTGATCACCCTGCCTGGGTCCTACAGTGAACACCATTCCTTAGACAGCTGTCACTTCAAAAACCACCTTTCCCCTTGCCATTGAAAGCCCACACATGCTACGCCAGGTCAGAGACAAGGCAAGGGGGACAGGAAGCCCCTAATCAGAGAAACAAACACAATCACCAGCACTGATAATCCTGCATGTGTGTCTCTGTTTGTATATGTGTGTGTCATTGAATAGTCATAGCACTTTATATGAATCTTTTTGAAAACAGGAGCAAATTTTCTTATACCATGATTATTTCAGAAATATCATATATGTATATATATGTATATATATATGTATATATGTATGTATGTGTATATATATATTTACATATATATTTTAAAGACATATATATATATATTAATAAAAAAAATTACCCAGCAGGAAACCAAAGGACAAAATAATCCTCTTGAAGTTCTATATATCATCAGTGGCTGCCTCCCAATTCTCCTGACTCATCAGCATCTCTGAACAGTCCTCACACTGTTAAACATCCTGCCAGATACTTGGAGGCTCACTGCTGCAGCGCACCAGCCCCGCCAGCATCAGCATTATTACTGTTATTATTATTATTTTTTTTTTTACTCTGCAGAGTTGCCTCTGCAGAGGTTCCTCCTTCCCCCGCATTTTGGTGTTAAAACTTACCGCTTTTACCAACTCCCCCTGCTCCCAGCATTACCACCTTGTACTCTCTGGACCCGCCTGAGGCTGTCGCGCTGCTGGGGGAGCAGCTGGCTTCGTTTTCTACCTCCATTTTACCGGAGGGACTGGAGGAGAATAAAGAAGGAAAAAGTCGCCCGTGTCAGGTGCTTGCTCAGAGATTAAGCAACTCTAAAACTGTGTCAAAAGAGAGGTTTAGGACGAGGTAAGAACCATCAGCGCGGGGCTGGCTGTTGGTCCTGTGCTCTGAGCGGGTCTCATAGCAACCACTCAATTGCTTCCAATAAAAATCTGGCTTTTACCTACCCCCCCTCCTTCCCTGTCCTTCACTCTTGCACTCTCCCGCTAGTGCTCCTGTTCTCTGTGTGTCTTTCTGTCTGTCTGTCTCTCTGTGTGGCTCCCTCTGTCTGTTTCACTGTTGGTTTGTTTTTCCCCTTCCCTCTCCGGTTTCTCCGTTTCCCACCCTCACTCTTTGTTTCTGCCCGTTCTCCCTCCTGCCCCCTGTGCCGTGCCAGCTGTTAGAGGCACACATGCTTGGCTCCCATCCAGGCTGGGCGGCTAGAATGGAGTGAATCCGAGACGTAGTAGAAACATTCTGTCTCACAGGCTGATGATTTCTGTAGCTACAGCTTCAGAGACACTGTTTTCTTCTGATCAGTCAGTTAAGAAAGATGGCTGTTGCTTATCTTCTTGCTTTTCATCAACATCTTCTTCCACAGTTCTTCTTTTGGGAAGAGAGTTGCTACCAATTTAGGGGAAAAACAAACCAACAGTAACTCAGGGCTTTTCAGGACTGGTCTCTGCTGTTGTTGAAAAACAGCTGGCTCACAGGAATAGTGTCAGCTCACATGCGAGCTGCGGTTCTAACACGCGGAGATATTTGAAATTAGGTCATTGTCCTGCGTGGACACGGGTCATCCTTGTTTACACTCAGTTATTAGGACCAACCTAAAACACAAGGATCCTGTCTAGTATGAAAGAGATACTTAATTTTTTTTTTTTTTTTTTGCTGAAAATTAGGGTAGCATTAAAGATCATATATAATCATTTTTCCAATGTCTAAACTCTTACCCCTTATTTGAATTCATTAAAGCTTTATGCTGTTTGCTTCTCTGGGGAAAGCTTCTAAACTAAAAACGTCTTAGAATGCTTTCAATAGTCCCTACTTGCTATAGTCAGACCCGGTCTTTCGAACAAGATGGTGATAATGTTCTGTATATTTACCGTCTGTTTTTTTCTGTTGTGAAATTGGATCATGATTACGTGCAGTTCAATGTTTGGTGTACAAGGGCTTTTATTTCTATCTATATTTTAAGATCCTCTAAAAAAGAAACTATATTTAATCAGTCCCTTTATAACTACAGGGTATGACCAAATGTTTTACACAGAGAAGGTGCTCACTATATTGCTGGTAATTGGAGGGGTGTCATATAGTCTGCCATAGCCAACAGCCGAGGCTCTGGAACCTGATTGCTTGCTTTCAAATCTGTCTCAGCCATTTACTGGCTGTGTGACCTTGGGTAAATTGCTTCACCTCTCTGTATCTCAGTTTCTTCATCTATGTTTATTAAAGACCTACTTTATTAACTCATAAAGTTTAATTAAAATGGTTTATTAAAGACCTGCTTTATTAACTCATAAAGTTTAATGCATACACAGTACTTAAAAGTATTTTGGCAAATTGTAACCAGCATGTAAGTGTATGATTATTTCATCATTACTTTTTAGTTACTAGTGCTCCCAGTCTTCTGTATATAAGCACTCACCAAAAGAGAAGAACATCTCTTCCTGTGTTTATTGGCATCCCTGTCTTCTTTGCTAAAGTATCTGTTCAAACCTTTTGTCTATTTTATATCAAGACTAGGGGCCCAGTGCACAAATTCGTGCACCTTGAAAGGAACTGTGGACAGCGAGGCTGCAGTGGGCACAGGGGCAGGTCTTGGCCCATCCTCCGTGCTGCTCCTGCCCAGCTCCTCCTGCCATGGCCACCAGTCCCCTCTCTGATGGCAGCCCCGCTCCCACTGCCGCCACCCCCATGCGCAGACGGTGCCAGCTCTGCTCGCACCTGCTGATGGCGCAGAGAGATTGGGGCCAAGCCAGCATCAGGTGTGAGCAGGGTGGGCACTGGCAGTGGGTGCAAGAGGTGGCTGCCAGCCCTGATCACCCCTTAGGAGCAGGGTGAGGTGGAGAAGCCCTGAGGGGTGATTGGGACCAGCAACCGCCACTGGCACCCACTGACAGCACCGAGCAATTGGAGCTGGCACCAGGCGCTGGCAGTGGGTTCAGGTGGTGGCTCCAGCATGGCAGCAGGTGCGAGTAGGGTCAGCACTGGCACCAGGTATGAGTGCTGGGTGGGACCGCGGCACATGGGAGCAAAGAATTTTCAGTAACCACCAAAGGCTCATCCTGATGACAGCGACCGGTGCCCCACCTTGGTCTGTTGCCCTTGCTTACCTGCTCCACCATCCTGCCACAGCCTATGCCCACCATGTTCCACACTCCGCTGCCTGCTGCCAACACCTGCCATGTACTGCATGTGCCTCCTGGTGGTCAGCACACATCATAGCGACCAGTTGTTAGGTTGTTTGGTTGTTCCCCCATTCGGTCTATTTGCATATTAGGAATATATATATATATATATATTTGTGTTTGTATTGAGTTTTGAGAGTACTTTATATATTCTAGATGTAAGCTTTTTATCAGATATATGTTATGAAAATATTTACCCCCAGTCTGTGGCTTTTCTATCAATATTTTTCAAAAAAGCAGGGGTTTTAAATTTTGATTGAGTCTGATTTGTAATTTTTTTCTTTTAAATGACACCTTGTTCAATGATTTTACTCCCAATTCTCTTTTCATCTCTTTCACCTCTTCATAGCAGTTTTGCTTATTGTTAGGGCCCTATTTATCACCTTCCTGTGAGTAACTGCCACGTTTGTAACTGTTAGACCCAATTTTCACCTTGAACTTCAAAACTGAATCTATCTCCTGAATGCTTCTATCAGAAACCCTGTTTGTATCTCAACCTCAGTATGAGCAAAAATACATCACTCTGATTCTCAATAACCACACTCTATCACCTTCTCCAAGTCCTAGCTTCAGTTCAGCCTCCTCTGCCATTGGACTTCCATGACTGAAATAACTCCATAACTTATCCTTCCTGAGTACAGTCCCACTGCCCTTTCCTCCTTTCACCACTCAGCTCATCCTGCACATTGATGTCAGGAAAATCCACCTAAAATGTCAACCTGACTGACCCTATAGTACACATGTTCATAAATCACACACCTAAATAATGCAGTATAATAGCTTAAATGGGACACCGGGACACAAAGTATTTATTCCAGACTCATCCCTTCACTCAATAGAATAGAGTCAGGCAAAGTGGGTGGCTTGCCTCTCTTCCAACAAAACTGTCATTTCCATAATCAGCTGTGGCTAAGTTATAATTACCTTGTAATTGACGCATGGAAATTTTATTCCTCAATGAAAATAAATATGTAAACAATAGCATGTAGCTTCAAGGTCTTTCTGGTTTTGGTTTCTAGGTCTGGTGCAGACATTCTTATGACACTGAGCAAATCACTTACCCCTCTGAGCTATCCATCCCACCATCTGTGACTCTATTTCCATGTCAGCAACCCTGATTTGGTGGTAAAGCACAGGGATTATCCTTCCAGCTGGGTCCTTTGTACTGTGTTTTCTGGTACACATCCTATATAATAAAGAGGTAATATGCAAATTGACCATCACTCCAACACACAAGATGGCCACCACCATGTGGTCAAAGATGGCCACCCCCATGTGGACACAAGATGGCTGCCACAAGATGGCCAGCAGGGGTGGGCAGTTGTGGGGGACCAGGCCTGCAGGAGAAGGCAGTTGGGGGTTACCAGGCCTGCAGAGGAGGACAGCTAGGGGCGACCAGGCCAGCAGGGTAGGGAAGTTAAGGGATCGGGCCTAAATGGGCAGTCGGTCATCCCTCAAGGGGTCCCAAATTGGAGAGGGTGCAGGCTGGGCTGACGGACACACACCCCCCCCCCCCCCGCCCCGTGCATGAATTTTGTGCACCAGGCCTCTAGTATTTTAATATTAAAAGTGAGGAGTACATGAAATGTCCTTTAATGGTAAGTATATGAATGACCTGACAAATATGTTTGCTGCGAGAGGAAACTTTAACCAGTGAATTAGCTTTCTTTTCAATAGCTAATGTATCTGTCCATATTCCTCCAATGGTAATCAGTGAGATTTTTTTCTATTTACATGAAAAACATGTTCTGTAGGGAGGCATTCCATACTATAAAAACCCTCTTTATTTACATCTTCTTTGATATTCTAATGAATTCCACTCTCATCTCTTCTCCTGACTTACTAAGGGTCTGATTGATAATGTTGAACTTTGGAGGATTCTAATGTTACTGATTTTCAGTTTTACTAAGTGAACTTTAAAAATTTGCATGCTTTGTGCCTTGAGCAATGCACCAAATAGTCTGAGGGGGTGTGTGTCTGTGAGAGAGAGAGAAAGAGAGAGAGAGAGAGGTATCTTCCAGGTGTATAAATGTTTATTAAAGTGAATCTTTAAGTAACCAAGATCATTACATGGCAGATTGATTTGCTCTCTGGAAAATGATTTAATGATTGGCATTTGGGAGGTCCAAGATGGCAGTAGCACAGCAGCATGCTGAATTCTACCCCTCCCATGAGCATGCTCAAATGTACACAGATGGAGGTCAGTTACTCCTTAGAGACCATTGAGGATTGAATGAACAGCTTGTGAAGAACAAACAAAAGAAGAGTCTGAATGGAGAGGGCTGGGAAACTGAGGAACCCCAGGAGCTGCAGGAACTCTCCCTGGGAGAGGCCAGTGAGCGCCATTATTTATGTTCCCCTCTGCTTCCTTATGGCAAATGGGAGCTCTATCCTGGGCCTCCGCCTACCTGCTAGACCACCATAGCACTTTCCAAGCTACAGTACCTGTTGTCTTTTGCCTTTGAGCAAGAGGGAGCAAGCACAAACAATAGGGTGTCACCACATGCACCTGGTCTCCAGGGGAAAGCACTCCAGCCAGAAGGCCAGTGCCTCAAGCCCTTTGAGCCCATGCTCAGCACCAAGAGGCTTCCCTAAACTACATGGCACAGAGGTTTGGTCTATCCAGTACCACAACAAACAGAGGAAGACTGTATACTGGAGCACTCTGGAGATTGTGGGAATTCCATAGGACAGGA